TTGTTAATTTGTTTAGAAAAAATTAAAATAATTTGATTTACTCAATATAAAAAAATTAGAAAGATTCGGTTCTTCGGTTCTCGATCTAGAACTGGGAACCGAACCGTACCCGTCGGTTCTCAATTCAAATACCCGTTCGGGTATTTGAATTCGGTCGGCAGAGGTCACAGCTTCAATCGAAGGTCACAGTGTCGGCCGATGATTGTATAGGTTTTAGAATATCAGCGAGGCTGCGAGAGTGAGTGCGAGAGTCCAGACAACGTTATGCACTTTAGTGTAGGTGTTTAGGGTTATTTAGTAGATTTGATCTTATTTGGCTAAGAAATGAAATAATAAAATGGATAATTGGGCCAAAAATTAAAAAATTAGAAATGAAACAAATTATTTGGCCAAAAATTTGAATTCAGAAATCGTTAATTTGTTAATTTGTTTAGAAAAAATTAAAATAATTTGATTTACTCAATATAAAAAAATTAGAAAGATTCGGTTCTTCGGTTCTCGGTCTAGAACTGGGAACCGAACCGTACCCGTCGGTTCTCAATTCAAATACTCGTTCGGGTATTTAATTTGATAAGAACCGTCGGGTTCGGTTCGGGAGATTTGCCCAACCCTAGTACAACACTTCTTTCTTGACCAAATGATAACAGCTCCTGCATTCTTTCAGGCCAGACAATATTCAATCTCCGTGCAAAATCCTCGACCTCCTTGTAAGTAGGGAAAACAAAGAGTTAATTAAATGATCAATCACTCACATTTACCATTGATTACCACTTGCTCACCCCCAATTAAAAGGTTACCCATTACTCACTCACATTTAAACAATTTTACTCATTCGTCACCAATATCAATTCCATGCATCCACCTAGGCACAAAAATCTATGTCGCAGTTGGAAATCTAACGTGGCTGGCAACAGTGTTAAAAATTGACAGCTTGGAAAAAAAAATAGGCTCTTCATCTAATTTTTCCTTTATTGTTAATTTGTTTAGAAAAAATTAAAATAATTTGATTTACTCAATATAAAAAAATTAGAAAGATTCGGTTCTTCGGTTCTCGGTCTAGAACTGGGAACCGAACCGTACCCGTCGGTTCTCAATTCAAATACTCGTTCGGGTATTTAATTTGATAAGAACCGTCGGGTTCGGTTCGGGAGATTTGCCCAACCCTAGTACAACACTTCTTTCTTGACCAAATGATAACAGCTCCTGCATTCTTTCAGGCCAGACAATATTCAATCTCCGTGCAAAATCCTCGACCTCCTTGTAAGTAGGGAAAACAAAGAGTTAATTAAATGATCAATCACTCACATTTACCATTGATTACCACTTGCTCACCCCCAATTAAAAGGTTACCCATTACTCACTCACATTTAAACAATTTTACTCATTCATCACCAATATCAATTCCATGCATCCACCTAGGCACAAAAATCTATGTCGCAGTTGGAAATCTAACGTGGCTGGCAACAGTGTTAAAAATTGACAGCTTGGAAAAAAAAATAGGCTCTTCATCTAATTTTTCCTTAATTTCGATAAGCCTTTCTTCATTTCATTCAATCAATAAGCAACCAAGGCGGAAAAATTATATTTAATCAAAAATTAATTATAAGTAAAAAAAATCATTTTTATGTAAAAAAATTACTAAAAAATAAAAATACTACTAATAAAACAAAAAATACTTATAAAATGTAAAAAATTACTTATAAACAAAAAAAATTTACATAAAGTTATTTAAAAGAAAAAAATTAACTTATATAATTTAAAAGTTATTTATAAGTAAAAACATTAACTTAAAATTTTAAGTGTATATTTAAATTTTTATTTAATTTTTAAAATTAGATTTTAACTTTTATGAAAAAAATATTTGTAAGTAAAATGTCATTTATGAGTAAAACAAATTAATATAAAAGAAAATTTTACTATAAGGGCAAATACGTAATCTTATCCTTTTAAAAAACTTTCAGAACCGGTGGATACTAAACTCCCAATCGTGGGTTGGGGGGTTTTAAGAACCGCTACTAAAACCGCTCAAAATCGCTCCGCTCATAATCGCTCAGAAACGCTACTTTAA